CAAACTGTACCGCTGCATTTATGCGTTATGTTTTTTTGGCGAACCAGGTTTTCTCTTTTTACGAAAAACCTTTTACAATATAAATGTGTTAGCACCAGTGGCAGCCATGTTGTTGATGTTATGACTGAGTGGAGCATGCGCAGAACTTTCAACGAGAAGGAGACAGTGATTTGCATAACCCTCTGTCAATCTATTTTAATTAGTCTTGTCGTTAAGCCCTCAGAAAAACAATGACACACGTAGCTGTTTATTGTCGCATTTTTATTAATATTTAGCACTTTTCTATTTTGTTTTACTAGTGTAAATACGACCTTGCAACATTTGAAAATATGCAACAACAAAAAATGTTCAAAAATATGCCTTGAACCTTAACTGAGTTAAGTTAGTCAGTTTTGTCGCCCATGCCACTACGCTGAAATAGTCGAACTATTGCCATGCATGTCTGTAACCATTTACAACCTTTTACCACTTGTATTTCGCTCCCGGGAGGTACCTGGCAGTGTTAAGCCCCATGGAACGGCAAAAAGAGCAAACAAAAGGGATAAAAGAAAAGAGAAAAATCACACATAACTGAGACTGAATAAAAATTAATTTGGAAAATAAATTTCATGGTGAATTCATACAACTTTTATTTCTGTGTTTACAAAGATGTTTAAGAAATTTTCGTACCTCTTTATAACAATCTCCCACAATTCATAATTCATATTCCATGGAATGTCACCAAAAAGCAAATTAAACTTGAAATTCAGCCCCTTCCCCCCCCCCTCCACTGAGAGAAGGCAATTCGGCATTCCTCAATATTAAAAACTATTTTGATCAAATCAGAGTAAAATGTTGCATTGCATAAAAATAGGAAATGATATAAATCTTCTATGCCATCATGACACGACTTACAAATGCCATGTCCTTTGTAATTTACCCATTGTAGTTTATTTTCTTCTAAATCCAGTGACCTAACCTTAAACATTAATGATATGCCATGATGATCATAGGGATCCTTAATATAATTTTCTTTTTTGTTATTTTTTCGATCCAACAATAGTGTTCAAGAGATTTCATGTTGTTTATTTTATCTGTAAAATGTTTCAGTTCATTTTCTTCACTTATTTTGTAACAGCTTTTGATCCACTGTTTATTATGTTTTGACCCTTGTGCGTCCGTGCTTCTGTGCGTGTGTGCATGTATGCGTCCAAACCTGTATCTCAGAAATGCCTGGACCAATCAAAATCAAACTTCACACATACATCACACATGATATTATACATATGCACATCAATTTGTTTTCACGATCTGATTCAAAATAACTGAATGGCAGCCATTTTTGTGCTGAAAAATCATCAAAATAAAGCATTTCTCAGCTGTTTACAGATGGATTTTGTTGAAACTTGTATACATGTATGCATTAGACATTATGGAACCTTGCTGCAAACAATTTTGTTTTTCAGATAAGATTCAAAATGCCTGACTGGCGGCCATTTTGTTTTAATGATTGGGCTCCTAGAGCCATATCTCTGACTGATTATGTTCAAATTTTATGTATTTGTTATACATCATGTTATAGATATATACATGTATTCAAAATGGCTGATTTTGTTTTAATTAATGCTGTTCCAGAGCAATATCTCTCAATATGGACAAGTACTTGTTTGACGATCAGATACAAATGTCAATCATTTTAATGTTAAACAATCATATTCCTGACATGGTTATATTCCAGCTATATTATTATAAACAAAACTATATATTTTATATTCAATAAATAACGGGGACTGTGCCATGCATGGCTTGTTAGTTTGTGTTTCTGTCCCATAAACATGGTCTAATCCATTAAAAACAAGTATTTTGTTTATAAATTTTGGCCAATTTGCCAAATTGGTATTGAACCACAAGAACCACACCCGTAGCTAATAAATGGCATTATCATACTGTTATGTTGATTGATAATAGATTTACAATACGCTATTAGTTTTATCCTTTCTTATAAATTTCAGTGAACTGTGAATGACTTGATAATGCCTAAATATTTATATGTGTTAGTTTCTTCTAATAAAAAATTCCTAATTTCCAAAGTGTGTCTTTTCTATGCATTTTCTTACCAAAATACATCATTTGAGATTTAGTTTGGTTAAAACTTAGTTTCCATTGTTTTGCAAATTTATCTGCTATATTCAGCATGTTTTGTAATTCCACTGCATTGTTAGCAATGAGAACAACGTTATCTGCCCAGAAAAGTCCAGGGATTACTTGTTCTCCAATTTTCACCCCTATTTCTGCAGCATTTTTGCAAATTCATTGATATATATTGAAAATAATAAGGGACTTAATGCACATCCTTGCTTAACCCCTTCAGTTGTTTCAAAGTAATCTATTTCTATTTCATTTTCAGCTTTCGACAAATCAAGGAAAGCAACATATGTAAATTTTTTGATTGATTTACGGTGTGACACATTACTTTTGAGAGCAAAACTGTTGTCTTCACATCACCTACTGTGGAATACTTTATTTTCGCCGGAATTAATTTTCGCTGAAAAGGCTTTTTGGGCGTTTTGTATGGAATTTATTTTCACTGATTTCTGATGAGTTTAATGTGAAATATAGGAAAAAAAGTATATTCGCTGGATTTTATTTTCACGGAATCATCCCTTCAACGAAAATAGCGAAAATAAATTCCAAGCGAAAATAAAGTATTCTACAGTATTCCTCCGAAAACCACTCTGAATCTCACCTAGTACGGTATATTATTTTCCTCAACAAATTTCTTTAATTTTGTTTCAATTATTTTTGCATAAACTTTGAATACAACTGAGTTTAGAGTAATGCCTCTATAGTTATTTAGATCTGTTGTGTCACCTTTCTTATGGATTGGTTTTATAACCCCTTGTTTCCAATCTTTTGGAATTTTGTTATTATTCAGACATGATTGAAAAAGAATTGTTAGAGACTGAACTTACTCCCCGCCAGTAATGATGAATTCATTGATGATGTCATCGGGCCGCACATTTTACCAGTTTTACAGAATTTAATTGCATTTCTAACATTGTCTTGGTTTATTGTGATTGTATTAATTTCTGCAGTATTATTAGAGTCTTCTCCACAGCACATTGTAATTGTATTAATTTCTGCAGTATTATTAGAGTCTTCTCCACAGCGGATTGTGATTGTATTAATTTCTGCAGTATTATTAGAGTCTTCTCCACAGCGCATTGTAATTGTATTAATTTCTGCAGTATTATTAGAGTCTTCTCCACAGCGCATTGTAATTGTATTAATTTCTGCAGTATTATTAGAGTCTTCTCCACAGCGCATTGTAATTGTATTAATTTCTGCAGTATTATTAGAGTCTTCTCCACAGCGCATTGTAATTGTATTAATTTCTGCAGTATTATTAGAGTCTTCTCCACAGCGCATTGTAATTGTATTAATTTCTGCAGTATTATTAGAGTCTTCTCCACAGCGGATTGTATTTTTCCTAATACTTTTAACTTTTTCAATAACATTTTCATCTTCAACCAAAGATTTATTCATTTTTCCTAATGTGTTCCAGTAATGTTTTAGGTTATTTTTAATTACTGTATGGTTTGTTGCTATGTGTTTACTTTTACTTTGAATGTCATAAATACAAGTGTGTTTATTATTTTTCTTCAGCCTCTTTTTAGCTATGTTTTACCTTAAACTCTAACCTTTTATTATTTATTAAATTGTGTGTTTTACATTTTAGGTCAATCGAGGTGGACCAGAGTTGATCTACGTCTGCTGCTTTTCTTGTATCTACAGATAATTTTGCTCAGTGTCTGTATTTTCTACAGGCATCCCTTCTCTCATTGATGGGATCATTAATTTCTTTATCCCACCATCCTTTACCTCTCATACCCCCAACTGTTTTGCTAATACATTTGTTTGCAACTTGAAGCTAGTTTTCTATTCTTCCCACAGATCATTTTAGTTTTTCACCTTATCCTTTTCCCCCATTTCCTGAATGAATCTAATAGCCCTAGTGAAATGGTTTCCAATTCTGGTTATAATTCAATTTCCATGTTTTCTTATTCTTTTGGGTTAGTGATTCACCTGGACCCAGGTCTAAATATAAAGTCATAACGTTGTGATCACTCCCGAGATGGTAGTTTGAGTTAATGTCTATTATGAATTTTTGAGAATTTTTGAATGTATGCTCCTGCACACAATGTGAAAGATACACATGAATTTTGTCTGATCAGAGTCAAGGTCATTTTTAAATAATTAGTCACTATGTTAAAGACTACATTTTTATGGGTATTCATTCGATGAAGTTTGAATTTCATTATTACAATCCCTGAGTACATTTTGTTGATCAGCCATGCATGGATTATCAGCTCATTCCATGGATTATCAGCTCATTCCATGGATTATCAACTCATTCCATGGATTATCAACTCATTCCATGGATTATCAGCTCATTCCATGGATTATTAGCTCATTCCATGGATTATCAGCTCATTCCATGGATTATCAGCTCATTCCATGAATTATTAGCTCATTCTATGGATTATCAGCTCATTCCATGGATTATTAGCTCATTCCATGGATTATCAGCTCATTCCATGGATTATTAGCTCATTCCATGGATTATTAGCTCATTCCATGGATTATTAGCTCATTCCATGGATTATCAGCTCATTCCATGGATTATCAGCTCATTCCATGGATTATCAGCTCATTCCATGGATTATCAGCTCATTCCATAGATTATCAGCTCATTCCATTGATTATCAGCTCATTCCATGGATTATCAGCTCATTCCATGGATTATCAGCTCATTCCATGTATTATCAGCTCATTCCATAGATTATCAGCTCATTCCATGGATTATCAGCTCATTCCATGGATTTTCAGCTCATTCCATGGATTATCAGCTCATTCCATGGATTATCAGCTCATTCCATGTATTATCAGCTCATTCCATGGATTATCAGTGAATTTATTTTGATTCCAGAGGATTATCAGTGAATTTATTTTGATTCCAGACAACTACTTGAAGAGCAAGGACTATGGGAAAGCAGACGAAGACTAGTACGATTGGAAAATGGTAAAATTGCTATTCCAATTACTGAATATGCAAAATCTACCTACTCATCATGGATGTGTGATAAACTGCATGGTTTAATGTTTACAGTTGACTCTCTCCCACTACCACTTTCCAAGAAAGCCCTGTTGTCAACACCGTATGAAAGATTGCTGCATGATGTCCGACACTGCGTAGAATCGAAAGGCCACGTTTGGGAAACAATATTGCAAGATGACATACCAAGACATTGGGAAAAGCACAATGACTTGGTATTATTTCCTGATTGTGTGTTCACTCACAGACTGTGGAAGGATTTGGAGAATGATTTGTGGAGAGTGGTAGCTGACGCCACAGGAGTATCACGTGTTGCTAAAAAGAGTCGCATTACCAGTGATGGATATAGAACTCCCATGGTGTATCTGCTACTTGGCAATAATGGATGGGTGGAGCACACAGATAATGGCATCAGGTAGAAAACACACATACTGGTGATAATGTAATCACCTATACAAACAGCTTCACACTGAGCATGAAAAGATTTTTAGTCCCCGTTCGAACGCAGTCCAAAAACGGGGACTTATGTTTTGACCCTTGTGTGTCCGAGTTTCCGTCCGTGCGTGCGTCCAGACCTGTATCTTAGAAATGCCTGGACGAATCATAATCAAACTTCACACATACATCATACATGATATTATACATATGCACATCAATTTGTTTCACGATCTGATTCAAGATGGCCGAATGGCGGCCATTTGTGTGCTAAAAAATCATCAAAATCAAGCATTTCTCAGCTGTTTACAAATAGATTTTGTTCAAACTTTAATAGTATATACATTAGACATTATAGGACCTTGATGCAAACAATTTTATTTTTCAGATCGGATTCAAAATGGCTGACTGGCGGCCATTTTGTTTTAATAAATGGGCTTCTAGACCCATATCTCTGACTTGATTTGACTGATTATGTTCAAATTTGTAATATTCATTATACATCATGTCATAGAAAAACAGATTTAATGGTTTGACGATTCTATTCAAAATGGCCAAATGGTGGCCATTTTTGTGCTAAAAAATCATCTAATATCAAGCATTTCTGGCATTTATGGATGGATTTCGTTCAAACTTACATACATTACAGTACATACATTAGACATTACGGGTTCCTGATGCACATCATTTTATTTTTCAGATCAGATTCAAAATGGCTGACTGGCGGCCATTTTGTTTTAATGATTGGGTTTCTAGAGCCATATCTCTGACATGCTTTGACTGATTATGTTCAAATTTTATTTTATATACATCATGTTATAGATATATACATGTATTCAAAATGGCTGATTTTGTTTTAATTAATGCTGTTCCAGAGCACTAACTCCCAATATGGACAAGTACTTGTTTGACAATCAGATACAAATGTCAATCATTTTAATGTTAAACAATCATCATAATCATATTCAGTACATAGTTATATTCCAGCTATATTACTATAAACAAAACTATATATCTTAAATTTGATAACTAACGAGGACTGTGCCATGCATGGCTTGTTTACATTTCATATGTTTATGTTTCTGCTGGGAAAATTGCTAACCCGATTGCTTTGATTTCCCGACTATATACATGTACATACCTTGGATGGACCTCTGTCAGATTTCTTCATTTCATGAGCTAAAATACTCTTTTAATGTGTTATGAAACCAGACATTTCTATACCTAATAAGTCAGCTAAAATAGTCTGTATATGTTACATTTGTCCTTCTAATAGAGATGTACGAATGCTGAATATGTTTACCTCATCTGTCAATGTAGTTATATTTCTAGCAGTTCAAAGTTCCCCCTATTGTTTTTGAGAGCAGCAAGTCAGTCTTAGTCTGCTGAATAGTTTTATACATTTGGTAAAAAAAATGATACTAGTATTTTAGACATTACAGGAAAAATAAATTGCTTACTTAGGTGAGAACCTCAGATTTGTTAATTTTGCGACAATAAATTTAATTCTCAAATTTTAGAGATATTTTTGGTAAAATAATATTTAATATACCTTGTTTAGAGCTGTTCACAAACTTATAGTCATTACAGCAGAACTTTTCATACACTTCTGCCATTGGATCCTCACTTACATTGTCCTGATTGTTATAGTCCATATTTCCAGGCACTTTATGACTTTGTGACACTGACAGCGTAGATGCCAGTCTAGTACAACTTACAAAGTAACCGTGCTGGTATTGATGTCAATTTCAGCAACACAAAGTCTACAGGGTTTGTCCACAATGTTTACAATGACGATTACAATCAGAACAATTTTTATAAATTCACTAATAGAGTTAGTATAATCAACCTACATATACAATACCATAGGATCTGGGCAACTTATTTTTTAGAAGACATCTCAGACATGCATCTGTTTCTAGATGGCTGACTCGTCACCATTGTAGTAAAAATGCACTTCAGGTATTTGTGGTTAAAGTTGGTTCATTGTACCTAACTAAAGTTTTGTCTTTTGCTAATGAATAACATGAAACATGTAATAATGTATGTAAACATTCCTTCCAATATCATTTTACCTTTGCAATGTACAGCAACTGTCATGAATGAAATTAATTAATTATAATGAGAATATTCTTTGGGTACATTTTCTAACTTTAGAATGAAACATAGACAAGTTCAGGGTGCCATGGTAACTTGACTATGAACATAGCATTAAATTATTATGTGTTCCAGGTATACATATGATGTCACAAAGTGTATGTTTTCTATTGGAAATATTACTGAAAAATTGCGAATAGCCAAGATGTGTTGTCAAGGAGAAACCATAGTAGATCTCTACACAGGTGAGTTAGAAACCAATATAGTAGATCTCTATACAGGTGAGTTAGAAACCAATATAGTAGATCACTTTACAGGTGAGTTAGAAACCAATATAGTAGATCTCTATACAGGTGAGTTAGAAACCGATTATAGTAGATCTCTATACAGGTGAGTTAGAAACCAATATAGTGGCTTTCTATACAGGTGAG